CGCCGCCCAGAGGCGCCAAAAGGCTTCCAAAATCAGCCCAAGACGTTCCGAGAGGCACCCCAAGAGAGGTCCAAGAAACAAAAATCGTGCCATTCCTTTGGGAAAACGTATATTTTTCGCATGTTCGCATCTTGGGCTTTCACCGCGTCCAAGACGGCCCAAGAGGCCTCCAAGACCGCCCCAAGACGGCCCAAGAAGCTTCCAAGAGGGCCCCAGGACAGCCCAAGAGGGCCCCAAGACGGCCCAAAAGGCGCCCAAGATGGCCCAAGAGGGCCCCAAGACGGGCCCAAGAGGGGGCCCAGATGGGGACCACGAACCGCAAGCTCGAGCCTTCCGCCCAAGAGGCCACCAGGAGGCCCCAAGGAGGCCCCTCAAGAGGCCCCAGGAGACCCCCAAGAGGCCCAAAGGAGGCCCCGAGCAGCCCCAAATCGGCTCCCAAAATGCTTCGAATCTGCTTCCAGGAGGCCTCCGACAGGTTCAGAGGCTCCCGAGAAGCTACGTCAAACTCCCAGCGGACGGCCGGACGAGGCCCCCCACAAAATCACAAGAGGGTTCCAGTATTTGTATCCTTCAGCGCTCTGTGGCCTTCTTCCCCCTGCCCCCTTCCCTGCGACTTTCGTTGACTCAAGCTCGCCTCCTAGCTAGAACCTAAGCGCGCGCGAAGCGCGCGCGTGGTTCTAGTCTCATATCATATCATCTCATCTCATCTCATCTCATCTCATTACATTTCATTTCATCTCATCTCATCCCGTCTCATCTCACATCATCCGATTTCATCTCATCTCACCTCATCTCATATCATCTGATGCCATCGCATCGCATCACATCTCATCGCATCACATCGCATATCATCTCATCTCATCTCATCACATCTCATATCATCCCATCTCATCCCATCTCATCTCATCTCATGCCATCCCATCTCATTTCACGACATTTCACTTCATCCCATCATATCTCATCTCACTTCATATCATTTCATCTCATCTCACATCATACCATCGCAATCACATATCATGTCATCAAATCTCCTTTCGTCCCATTTCCCCTCCTCCTCCTCCTCCTCCTCCTCCCCCGACGCCCGCCCGCCCCTCCCTCCACCCCCGCCCCCTTTTTCCTCTGGCAGGCAACTCGGGCTCGTTCGTGGGCGAAAAGCACGCGTCCGTGCCCGCGGCCGCGAGGGCTGGGCGTGCATCTGTTCGCGGCTGCCCCGCGCAGGCGCGTGTCCGCGGGACCGCGCATCCGCAGGATGGCGCCCCAGAGTCCGGGCCGCGAGGGCGCGGGCGCGAGCGTGCTCGCCGCTCGCGATTGGGCGACGCTTTTTGACGGGGTCTCCGAATTGCGACGGCCCAATTTCAGCGGGATGTTTGCAGCGGGAGTTTCACGTCGGGTATGTCCCTCTACGGGAAGAGTATTCAAAAATCGTCAAACATAGTCTGGAGACGATTTTGTTTGTTTGTTTTGATTTCTGTTATATAATATGGAATATAGTGCATTATTTAATATTTTTCGTCCAAAAATCCGCCTGTAGGGGGACATGCGGGAGCTCGCATGAAGTGTCGGGCTGGGTCCGGGAATTTTCCCGACGGCTTCGTCGGGTCCACCTGGGCCCCCCGAGCTCGAGCCGAGCCCGGCGCCTCCCCGCGAGGAGCAGAGCTACGCGGTCGACGCGGTGCTCGGCAACTCGCGGGGTGGCCACCTGCTGCTGCTGCTGGGTCCGCCCGGCACGGGCAAGTCCTTGGCCCTGGCCGAGGTTCGCCAGGAATTGAAGAAGAAATAGCGACATACACATTAACTTTTGGTGCTCCGCGCGGATATCTGGAGCCCCCTGGCGGCGCCTCAGGCGCACTCCGCGCGCCAGGGAGGGGGGCCAGCGCAGATCCAAGAAATCCGCGCGGAGCGCCAACAGTTTATACTAATGGCATTTTTTTGTGTTGTTGTTGTTGTTGTTGTTGTTGTTGTTGTTGTTGTTGTTGTTGTTGTTGAACATTATTACTTCTAAAGAATAATTATTGTTGGGACCCCTGGTGCATGGCCCCCCCGCCGCGCCTAGGCCGCAGCCTCATTTTCATCATTTTCGTGAGGAAATCTCAGGTAGAACGGGTTGGTCCGGTCCGGTTGTTTTGTTACGGGGCGGTTTTCCCTGCAAAAAATAAGGCAAAGTGGACATTCATGTTTCTAACATAACAAAACTTCAAGAATCCCTTGCAAAAAATAAGGTAAAGTGGACATTCGCGCGCGCAAGACGAAATCCTTCCAAAACCTTAGTGTTCGTAGCGATTTTAACATAAAAACAGAAAAAAAACCAATGGTTTTTCAAAAAAAAAATGTGAAAATTTCATCCCGCGCGCTCTTGCGGATTTGTAGGAAACCCAACACTTTTTAAACATTTCTGTCAAACGGGCTTTTGGCGTGGTTTCCTATTCTAGCGTCAGGAACACGTTACCACCAAAAACCAGTACAGGTGTCCAGTGTTGGAACAGGGGGAAAAGTCGTATACTAAGCTAGCGTCCACAAAATGTTACCACAACAATCACTGTACCCATGCGCCAGTGTAGTAGCCAAGGTCGTCCGCAGGCCACGAAGTGAAGTGTCCGAACGTCATAGGGCGGGAAGCTGGGTGTGGGTGGTGGCGAAGAGTCGTTTGGAATGTGGTAGGCTTGAAAACCCGGCCCGCCCCCCACAAAGTGGTGTATTGGCGGGCGTCGTATGAAAACCCTGGCACTGGTGAGAACGGAGTGTCCCCACGTGCTAGTAATTGTTGTTGTTGTTGTTGTTGTTGTTGTTGTTGTTGTTGTTGTTGTTGTTGTTAGTTTTTAGTTGTTAGTTGTTAGTTGTTAGTTGTAGTTGTTGTTGAACATTATTAATTCTAAAGAATAATTATTGTTGGGACCCCTGGTGCACGGCCCCCCTGCGCCGCCTAGGCCGCAGCTACATTTTCATCATTTTCGTGAGGAAGCCTCAGGTAATTCGATGTGATCAAGATCCGGTTGTTGTGTTCCCCCCCGCTTTCCCTTGCAAAAAACACTATAAAATGACATTTCTTGTTCTAATATAATCAAATTTCAAGAATCCCTTGCAAAAAATAAGGTAAAGTGGACATTCGCGCGCGCAAGGCGAAATCCTTCCAAAAGCTTAGTGTTCGGAGCGATTTTAACATAAAAACATCAAAAAACCAATGGTTTTTCAACAAAAAAATGTCAAAATCTCATCCCGCGCGCTCTTGCGGATTCGTAGGAAAACCACCACTTTTTAAACATTTCTGTCAAACGGGCTTTTGCGAGCAACTTTTTCGAACGTCTGCGACAACGGTTGCGCACCTGCCAGGGCCATCATCCCTGTCAAATAATACCATGCGGGACACATTCGTTTTTTCTTCGCGCGCGCACGCCGAAATCTCCAAAACCATTGGGCTTCTTAAGAATTTTAGCACCGCGCATCATAAAATCACACGAATCGCACCGTAGGTCCTCGAAAAACACCTGCACGACTTTTCAATATTTCTACCCGCGCGCGCTGTCCTAACAACTTCTGTGGGTGTGTACTCCACGCCAGTGTAGTAGCCACGGTCGTCCGCCGGCCACGAAGTGAAGTGTCCGAACGTCATAGGGCGGGAAGCTGGGTGTGGGTGGTGGCGAAGAGTCGTGTGGATATTTGGTAGAGCTTGCACTGCCCCCCCACAAAGTGGGGGTATTGGCTGGCGTCGCATGAAACCCTGGCACTGGTGAGAACACTGAGCGTTCGGGTAAAGTGATTGTTGTTGTTGTTGTTGTTGTTGTTGTTGTTGTTTTTGTTGTTGTTGTTGTTGTTGTTGTGGTTGTCGTCGTCGTCGTCGTCGTCGTCGTCGTCGTTGTCGTTGTTGTTGTTTTTGTTGTTGTTGTTGTTGTTGTTGTTGTTGTTGTTGTTGTTGTTGTTGTTGAATTCTCACTTCTGAAGAATAATTATTGTTGATCCCCCCCACCGGTGCATATAGTTTTTTCTCAATCGAAGTGTGCCCCTCGACGCTCGCACCTGGTTTTTTTGACAGCTCAAACTGGGCCCCTGGCCCCTGGGTTACAACAACAACGGCTCCCGCCTGAGACTTCCTTACAATTTAGGCAGGACCCCGCTGCCGCCCAAGACTTCCTCGCATTTCATTCAGGAATCGCGCTCTCGCTTGGGACTTCCTTGCAATTTATTCACGAATCGCTCTCCCGGAGCTCTGGAGTCGCGCTCTCGCTGGAGATTTGCTTGCAACTGACTGAAGAATAGCATTGCGTTGGAATTTCCTGCAATTTGCCCAAGCGCCGCGCTCCCGACACCCAGGCACCCAGGAGTCGCGCCCGTTGTGGCCCCATGTGCGTGCCCTTCGTGGCCCCGCTGTCGCCATTTGTGTCCCCCTCATTGTCCTACGTGGCCCAGTTGCTACCCTCAGTGGCCCCATAGTTGCCTTCTGTGGCCCCGCATTATCTGCACTTCGTGGCCCCCGCTCGTTCGCACTCTTCGTGGCCCCATACGCATTCCCTTCGTGTCCCCGCTGTCGCCCTTCGTGGCCTACTTCGTGCCCTTCGTGGCCCTGCTGTCGTTCTCTCTCGCTCTCGCTTTCGATCGTCGTCGTCGTCGTCGCCGTCGTCGTTGCCGTCGTCGTCGACGTCGTCGTCGTCGTCCGTCGGTCGTCGTCGTCCCCGTCGGCCCCTCTTGGGGTCCGGGTCGACGGTCCCGGCCGCCCCGCCGATCAGCGCCTGCCGCTGGCCAGGCCGACGGTCCGCGGCCGCCCCGCCGCTTGCCGGGGCCCGGACTGCCCTCAAAATGCCGCCACTTTCGAGGGCTGCGATCTGCGAAAGTGTCGCCACTTTCGAGGGCTGCTGGTGGGTCCAGCGGAGTGAGGCACCGCGCAGACCTGAGCGAGACCTCGCCGTCCCTGGGGGGCTGCGATCTGCGAAAGTGTCGCCACTTTCGAGGGCTGCTGGTGGGTCCAGCGGAGTGAGGCACCGCGCAGACCTGAGCGAGACCTCGCCGTCCCTGGGGGGCTGCGATCTACGAAACTGTCGCCACTTTCGAGGGCTGCTGGTGGGTCCAGCGGAGTGAGGCACCGCGCAGACCTGAGCGAGACCTCGCCGTCCCAGGGGGCTGCGATCTACGAAACAGTCGCCACTATCGAGGGCTGCTGGTGGGTCCAGCGGAGTGAGGCACCGCGTAGACCTGAGCGAGACCTCGCCGTCCCTGGGGGGCTGCGATCTACGAAACTGTCGCCACTTTCGAGGGCTGCTGGTGGGCGTGCCACTTTCGAAGACTGCTGGTGGGTCCAGCGGAGTGAGGCACTGCGCGGACCTGAGCGGGACCTCGCCGTCTCTGGGGGGCCATGTCATGTTGTTGCTGCCCCGCCGACGTTTCAAATCCCTTGCCCACAGTCTCCTTTTGGACCTTGTGTCTTCCTTAGTGACTCAGGGGTTCACTTAGTTACTCATTGTTTTTCCCTCGATTGGGGACCTGCGAACCTTCGGAATGCCGCTCGCAGAAGTATATGCGTCCATGTCACGTCGCCGCCTTCTCGTCGAATCTCCCAAGCTACTCCTGCCCCGTTTTTTTTTTGGGGGGGGGGGCCCTCCACGGGCCCCTCGGGGCTGCAGGAAGAGCTGGTCTTAAGTCGGGCCTGTTCCTCAACAGGAGAGGAACGTTCAAAAATAGGAACATCCAAAAATAGTCCAGAAACAGTATGTGGACGATTTTTGATTATTTTGGGATTCATTTAGGATATTTTTTGATCAATGTGAAAGCCTGACGGCCGGTGCCGCCGACCCTGAAAGACAACGACGACGACCAGGAGAGGGAGGAGGAGGAGAAGGAGGAGGAGGGGGAGGAGGCGGAGATAAGGAGGAGGAGGAAGAGAAGGAGGAGGAGGAGGAGGAGGAGGAGAAGGAGGAGGAAACGGACTCCCCCCTGGGCCCCCCCCCCCTGGGGGACGGATGCGTATCTGACTCCCCTCCCCTGCCTGGGACTCCTCCCCACCTGGGGAGGAGGACCCGAGGAAGACCGGCGCGCCGGAGAAGGACCGGCGTGGGAGAGGAGGATCCCCAGAGGCGATGCGAATCTGACCCCCCCCCCCTGGGACCCCCCCTCCGCCGGGGAAGGGACAAAGGGAACGGACTTCTCTTTCACGTAATGAGGACGTGGATGGACTTCCCTCAAGCTGCGAACCCGTTCCCCGAACGAGGAAGGGAGAGGAGGATGGGAAGGAGGGGACGAAATAAGGCTCCCAGTCGACGGGACCAGACAGACACCCCACACACGCCGACAGGGTCGGCGGATTTTGAATCTTTTCGTCTAAGATCCGCCTGTAGGAGGACACGCCTGACCTAAAGCTGGTCCTGGGGGAAGGCCCCGGGGTCCGAGGCTCCAGGCCTGCCGAACAAGGTCGGAGCAGAAGGGGCCGCAGGATCGCGCCGCATCGCCGATGCATCTTCGAGGCGGCTCGATGCGGAGCCCGATGTTCTCCCCGCCGACGGCGCTGATTCATCCCCCACGTCGCCGGTGCATCGGCGACTCCATCTGAGGGTTGGTCTGTTCGTCAAGGAATGTGCCCATGAGGCTTCAGACTCCGGGTTATTCTTGTCTGATGAGGGCGTCGGTGATATCCATGGCCAAGCCTCAGTTGGTGATCCACCAGCTTCCAGTCCCTGGGTTCCTAATCTAGTTGTTGCCTGTCCAGTGCGCTCACCGAAGGTGTCGATCTGAACGGTGTTTTGGCGTTCTCCTGGGCCGTTTTCGTTTCGTTTTTGGTTCTGCAGCAGCGGCGGATTGAAGATAATACGAGGAACAACGAAAACGAAACGACAACGAAAAGCACCGTTCAGGTCGATCCCTGCCTCACCGTGAACACTTGGCCCCCGTTTTGGGAGGCCTCTATAAGGACCCATTGCCCCCAGGGCCCGTTCGCTTCACGCCCGCGAGGCGATTTGCCAGTTGCTGCTCGATCACGTCCGGGCGCTCTCGGCCGCCGCGGACGCCGAGGCGCCGCAGCCGCCGCCCGCGTCGCGCATGCTGCTGTGCGCGCCGACGGAGATCCGCCTGCGACTTCCGAGCCCTGCGGTCGGACCGAGGTATAATCGGCGGCGAGCGAGGTGGGGGGGGGCAAGTGAGAAGGGGCGGGCCTTCTCAGGAGTCTCGGAAGTCCCCTGGCCTTCTGAGAAATGTTCTGAGCCTCCCCCGACGGCACAGCAAGCTTCTCAGAAGGTCAGAGGGCTTTGAGAAGTCCCACCGCCTTCTGAGAAGGCCTTCTCCTTCTCATTTCCCTCCTCGCTCGCCGCCGATATAAGAACGAGGTCGGTTCGGTGAGGGTGCCCTAATGTTCTTCGTGTCTGCTGGATGCTCTTGTGCGTCCTGGGGGAGGGCACCCTCGAATGTTCTTCGGTTTGGGCCGGCGAGGGGTCTCATGTTCTTGAAGGATGCTCTTCTGTCCTAGGTCCGGCTGTACCCCCACCAGCCATCGATCATTCAGAATCAATGGGAGGTGCGGGTAGGGTTCTTATTTCGCCACGCCTTCGACGAATTCCGAACCCCACCTCCGCCGCCCGTCGAGTTGCCCGAATCGCTGATCGGTGAGGGCAGGGTCCGTCTTTCGCCGCACAGGAAATCGCCTGCGACCTCCTGGTCGAGACGGTCCACCGGCGGCTGCAGCCCAGGGACGGGGGCGGCGTGACCCCCGTCGGCAGTCGCCCGCCATGCAGGAAACGGGTCCCGAGGGGAGGCGCGTCCTTCGGTGCGCTGGCCCTGGGGCTTCGCGGTGTGTGGGCCACGCGCAGTGGGGGGCAGGGGTAGGGGGGAAGGCGGAAGGCTTCGTAGAAGCACCCCTGCTTCTCAGAAGGCGCGGGCCCTCTTTGCAGATGTCAGGCCCGCGCCCTCTGAGAAGCAGCCTCCTTCGAAGAAGCCTTCCCCCCTCCACCTGCACCCCTCTGCGCGCCGCCAAGTGTATCGGGGATGCATCGGCGATGCATCGGCGACGTCGGCGATGCATCGGCGGCGTCGGCGTGGAGAAACACGGGCTCCACATCGAGCCGCATCAGCGATGCATCGGCGATGCGGCGCGATCCTCCAACACCGTCTGCTCGGACCTTGTGTGGCAGGCCTGGAGTCTCCTTCCCCCAGGAGGAGGATGAGGAGGAGGAGGAGGAGGAGGAGGCGGAGGAGGATGAGGAAGAGGAGGAGGAGGGGGAGGGAGGAGGAGGAAGGGAGGTGGGAGGAGGAGAGGAGGAGGAGGAGGAGAGAGGAGGAGGAGGTGGGGGGGGAAGGAGAAGGAGGAGGAGGAGGAGGAGGAGGAGGAGGAGGAGGACCTCGTCCTCCTTCTACCCCGTCCTACGTGTGGTAGCGGTGGTGGAAAAGCTGCCCATCGCTGATGGGGCCCGTCCGCAGAACCACTCGGGATGCAGGCTTCGTCCTGCGGGAAGGCCCCTTGGGCCCAGGGGCGCGCTTCCCTCGGGTCCCGCTTCCTGCATGCGAGCTCGAGGAAGAAGGGTGGCATGGACATCAGCTTCTCGGAGGTCCGCGCGGATGTCTCGGATCGGCGCTGGCCCCCCTCCCTGGCGCGCGGAGCGCGCCAGGGGCGGCGCCAGAAGCGCCGCCAGGGGGCTCCAGCGCAGACTCGAGAAGTCCGCGCGGAGCTCCGAAAGTTTATTTCTGTTTACGCTGCTCTTCGTTCTTCTAGGCATGCTGCTGCGCTTCAACGAGCCCAGGCGTCCTCTGCAGCAGATCGTGGCGCGGGGCGACGTGCTCCCGTACTGCTGCATCAACCAGCAGACAGGCTGCTTCCAGTACCCTGACGTGGACGAGGTGAGCGCAGCCAGGAACTTGGGGTCAACCGCGCGGACTTTGGCGCGTAAGCTTCCCTCCGCGCGTTGTGCCACGCTGGCGGCCAGCGTCAGCCGCGGCGTCGGACTGCTGTGTCTCCTCGCGTGGGACCGGTTTTTTCGCCGCTCAGGTGGAGAGCGCCGCAGTCATCGTCTGCACGCTGCGGGCGGCCTGGGGCCTGCGCGGCGTGCTGGGCAGCGCGGGCAGGGACATCGCCTTCGACTACGTCCTCATCGCGAAAAAGGAAAGCCGCATAGGCATGAGCATTCGGCGCTCCACGAGGCTCTGTTGGATCTGCGTCAGACCCCCCTGGCGTCGCGTCTGGCGCCGATCCAAGGTATCCCCAGACCTCCGGCTGCTCCAATCTTGTCGGTGCGCGGGCCCCAAAGGTCTGGACCCCTTCCCCGGGGCCAGTTCTTCGTACGGAGCCGTTCTTGATGCTCCCGAGGCCCGGCGAGGGCCCCCAGAGGCCGAACACGGTCCAAAACCGCCCGCTCCGATTTTTTTTGGAGCGTCGGATATAGCTGGGCCCTCGCGCACCTCCGAAAGCCTAGGTGTATGCTGTTTTTTCCTTCTTCCACCGTCGACGAGGCCGGCCAGGCGCTCGGAGGGGGGAGGGCGGAGGGGTGAGGGGGGAAGGGGGGAGGAGGGAGGAGGGAGGAGGGAGGAGGGAGGAGAGAGGAGAGAGGAGGGAGAGGGAGGGGGGAGGGAGGAAGGGAGGAGGAGGGAGGAGGGGGAAGAGAGGAGACGACGACGACGACGAAAACGACGACGACGACGAAAAGGACGACGACGACGACGAAAAAGACGACGACGAAGACGACGACGACGACGACGACGAAAAGGACGACGGCCAGGCGCTCGAGCCGGAGTGCTACGCTGCGCTGGTGCTGGGCGCCCCGGGGGCCAAGGTGCTGCTCGCCGGGGACCCCAAGCAGCTGGGGCCGGTGTGCCGCGCCGCGCAGCGTGGGGGGTGCTCCGAGGGGGCCAGGACGGGGCTCCTCCTCCTCCCTCCTCCTCTTTCTCCTCCTCCTCCTCCTCCTACTTCTCCTCCTCCTTCTCCTCCTCCCCCTCCTCCTCCTCCTCCTCCTCCTCCTCCTCCTCTTCCTCCCTCCTCCCTCCTCCCTCCTCCTCGCCCTACTTCTCCTCCTCCTCCTCCTCCTCCTCCTCCTCCTCCTCCTCCTCCTCCTCCTCCTCCTCCTCCTCCTCCCCCTCCTCTTCCTCCCTCCTCCCTCCTCCCTCCTCCCTCCTCCCTCCTCCCTCCTGCTCGTTTCGATTCCCCCGAGGGGGCCAGGACAGGGCTCGTTTCAAGTCGGGTCTGTCCATCTACAGGAGGAATATTCGAAAATAGTCGAAACATTGCCTGGGGACGATGTTTTGAGTGTTTTTTTGTTGACAATGTTTGAACATTTGTTGTGCATTTCGTGTTTTTCCTCCAAAATCCGCTCGTATGGGGGACATGCCCGACCTGAGGCTCGTTTCGATTCCCCCGATTCGATTTGATTCGATGGTAAACATGGATCAAAGGGGCGTGGATTAGCGACGGGTCCCGTTTCCATGGGGAATCGCGGATTTCCGCCGCCGAGCGAGGCGGTACCTGCCGCATTTTGGCGAGGGCACCTCCCCGGATCCGTGGAGTTGGCGACCGCACGCCAAATCCATGGATTGGATCGCTAATCCATGTTTGCGTGCGCCCGAGATTCGATTCGGTTCGATTTCGACTGCTTCTGATTCCGATTCGCTTCGACTCGGGATTCCGATTCGGGTGCCGATCTCTTCTCGGAGGCATACTGGCCTGCCGATGTTTGCCGATCCGACTCTTCCCGACTCGGCTGACGATTTCTGCCGGTCCGATTCATGTCGATCGCCGATCCGACTCATCGATTCGATTTTGGGCTCTCCTGCCAGGATGCTGAGCCAGTCCCTGCTGGAGCGGCTCTGCGAGCACCCCAGGTACGTGGCCAAAAAGTATACACCACCACCACCACCTCCCTCGCCCCCTCCCTATCCCAGGAGGGAGGAGAGGAAGAGGAGGGGCAGAGGAGGGAGGAGGAATCGACGTGGCGGTGAGCGAAGGAGCAGAGCGGGTCGGCTGGGCGGCCATTCGCGCGCCACCTTTTTGCCGCAGGTGAGGTGCCGCGCGCAAGCGCCCTCTTCTTCGCGCGTTGTGCCACGCTGGCGACCTGCGTAGGCCGCGGCGGGAGTTCGCTATGTCTTCTCGCGCAAGACCCGTCTCTTGTCATCGCTCAGGTGGCAGCACCCCGATTCGCCGTGGGCAGTCCGCCTGAGCCGCAACTACCGGTCCCACCCTGCCATCCTGGAGCTCCTCTCGACCACCCGGTACGACGGGAGCCTCATGCCGTGTGCCAACCCAGAGGTGGTGCACAAGTTCGAGCGCCTCGAGGTGCTGCCGAAGCGCGGCTTCCCGATGCTGTTCGTCGGGGTGCGCGGCCGGCAGCAGCTGGACATGACCAACTCGAACCATCGAAGAAGAAACAACGACATAAACATATGCCTTTGGCGCTCCGCGCGGATTTCTTTGGTCTGCGTTGGGCCCCCCTGGCGGCGCCTCCGGCGCCGCCCCTGGCGCGCTCCGCGCGCCAGGGAATGGGGTCCAGCTCAGATCCAAGAAATCCGCGCGGAGCGCCAAACGTTTGTGCTTATGCCGCCTTCTCTTCTAGACCAGCACTGCCTCTCCCGGCCAGACATGGCGCACTCGTACCACAACCCGGAGGACAGGGCTGGACCGAAACGCTGTTTTGCTGGACTCCGGCTGTGTTTTCTGCTTCTCGCCCTGGCAGGGAGGCACAGGAGAACAGGCAGGGCGACACGAAAACACACACCCAGCAGCACCGCGAAAGACAACGCTGAGGTCCGGCCCTGCCGGAGGAGGCCCTGGCGGTCCTGGAGCTGGTGCGGGCGCTGCGCCGGGAGACCTCCCCCGAGGCTGCAGGGCCCAAGCGAGCCATGGGCCGTAGACTCTGAGACTTTCGGAGGGCCGCGCGGGCTCCTCAGGGCTGGCGTTGGACACCCCTCCCCCTGCCCTCGGGCGGCGATTCCAGCGCGCTCCGCGCGCTGGGGAAGGGGTAAAAGATAGTAATGAAAATAGTCAGGGGACGATGATTCGATGATGTTTTGATCGTTTTTGGGCATTTTTTTTGATTTTTTTTTTGTTCGTCCAAAATCCCCCTGCAGGAGGACATGCCCGACTCAAAACGTTGGATCCCCCGCCCCCCGCCCTCGGGCGGCGATTCCGGCGCGCTCCGCGCGCTGGGGTTAGGTCGGTTTTTGGTGGACAAATAAAAGGAAAGGCCAAAGAATACGCCCCAAATTTTCAAACATGTGCAAAAATCGTCCCCAGACTATTTTTTGACCATTTTGGAGTATTCCCCCCTGTAACTAGAGGGATGTGTCCGACTTAACGCTGGGGAAAGGGTCGCGAGAAGGGAGGCTTCAGCGCCGACCCAAGGAATCCGAGTGGACCTCCGAATGTTCATGACCATGTCCAAGCGCAGCGCCGCGTGGATCACAGCAGGCCTGGAAACCCTACAAAATGACACGAGCCCAGCTTTTTCCGTGTCCCATGAACCCCACGTGACCATCTTGCCCTTGGATCGCACTTTCTGGTCCCTCAGTCGTCACCCAGATGCTGCGCAGAGGTGGTCGCCGTGGAAAAAGAGAAAGAGAGTTCATGTTCATGTACGGTAGTTTCGCGTCGTGTCGACCTGCGGCGACCCCGCCGCCGGCGTTTCACGTTGAACGCCGCCGGCGACCGCCGGCGTCCCAGAATCGGTCGATGTTGAACGACCTGACGCTTTGGAAATGCCCGATCGTTCAAGGTGGAACGATCCCCGCGGTGCCAGGAACCAACGCCGGGGTCGCTGGACGCAGCTCTCGCAGGATTCGATTAGAGCTGGACGCAGCTCTCGTAGGATTCCATTCGAGCTGGACGCAGCTCTCGTAGGATTCTGTTAGAGCTGGACGCAGCTCTCGTAGGATTCTGTTAGAGCTGGACGCAGCTCTAGTAGGATTCTATTAGAGCTGGACGCAGCTCTAGTAGGATTCTATTAGAGCTGGACGCGACACGAACCTGCCGCAGTTTGCTGTTCTTCCGGAGGTGTCCTTCGACGACATCGGCATCGTGTGTGCCTTCCGCCGCCAGGTGCAGAAGGTGCGCGCCGTCCTGCGCTCGGAGGGCTTCGACGCCGTCCGCGTTGGCACCGTGGAGGACTACCAGGGCCAGCAGGAGCGCATACTCATCATATCTCGGGGGCGGCAAAGAGGGGGGTGATGACTGGGGTTAAATCGGGCACGTCCCTCGACAGGAGGAACATTCAATAATACTTAAAAGATAGTCTGGGGACGATGTTTCGTTTTTGTTTTTGTTTTTGATGTTGTTGTTGTTGTTGTTGTTGTTGTTGTTGTTGTTGTTGTTGTTGAACATTATTTATTCTAAAGAATAATTATTGTTGGGCCCCCTGGTGCGCGCCCCCCTGCGCCGCCTAGGCCGCAGCTACATTTTCATCATTTTCGTGAGGAAGCCTCAGAAAAGAGGGTGTGTACAGGATCCGGTTGTTTTGTTGTAATCCGCTTTCCCTTGCAAAAAACAATAGAAAATGACATTTCTTGTTCTAATATAATCAAATTTCAAGAATCCCTTGCAAAAAATAAGGTAAAGTGGACATTCGCGCGCGCAAGACGAAATCCTTCCAAAACCTTAGTTTTCGTAGCGATTTTAACATAAAAACATAAAAAACAATGGTTTTTCAACAAAAAAATGTCAAAATTTCATCCCGCGCGCTCTTGCGGATTCGTAGGAAACCCAACACTTTTTAAACATTTCTGTCAAACGGGCTTTTGCGAGCAACTTTTTCGAACTTCTGCAACAACGGTTGCGCACCTGCCAGGGCCATCATCCCTGTCAAATAATACCATGCGGGACACATTCGTTTTTTCTTCGCGCGCGCACGCCGTCGTCGTCGGCCGCGGGGCCCTGAATAGTAGCCACGGTCGTCCGCATGCCACGAAGTGAAGTGTCCGAGCGTCATAGGGCGGGAAGCTGGGTGTGGGTGGTGGCGAAGAGTCGTTTGGAAATTTGGTAGAGCTTGAACCGGCCCCCCCACAAAGTGGGGGTATTGCCCGCCTCCTATGAAAACCCTGGCACTGGTGAGAACGGAGTGTCCCCACGTGCTAGTAATTGTTGTTGTTGTTTTGTTCCAACACTTTTTAAAACATTTCTGTCAAACGGGCTTTTGCGAGCAACTTTTTCGAACTTCTGCGACAACGGTTGCGCACCTGCCAGGGCCATCATCCCTGTCAAATAATACCATCCGCGCATGTGCCCAGCATGGCACAATTGCACCATGCTGGGCAAATGCGCGCCCCGAATAAGTGACCAAGTTCTGTGGGTGTGTACCCCACGCCAGTGTAGTAGCCACGGTCGTCCGCAGCCACGAAGTGAAGTGTCCGAACGTCATAGGGCGGGAAGCTGGGTGTGGGTGGTGGCGAAGAGTCGTTTGGAATTTGGTAGAGCTTGAACCGGCCCCCCCACAAAGTGGGGGTATTGCCCGCCTCCTATGAAAACCCTGGCACTGGTGAGAACGGAGTGTCCCCGTCTAAAATGATTGTTGTTGTTGTTGTTGTTGTTGTTGTTGTTTGTTGTTGAACATTATTATTCTAAAGAATAATTATTGTTGGGACCCCTGGTGCACGGCCCCCCTGCGCGCCTAGCCGCAAGCTAACATTTTCATCATTTTCGTGAGACGCCTCAGTTAATTTCGATGTGATCAAGATCCGGTTTGTTTTGTTTCCTTCCCCTTTCCCTCGCAAAAACACTCGCGTGACATTTCTTGTTCTAATATAATCAAATTTCAAGAATCCCTTGCAAAAAATAAGGTAAAGTGACATTCGCGCGCGCAAGACGAAATCCTTCCAAAACCTTAGTGTTCGCAGCGATTTTAACATAAAAACATCAAAAAACCAATGGTTTTTCAACACAAAATGTCAAAATCTCATCCCGCGCGCTCTTGCGGATTCGTAGGAAACCCAACACTTTTTAAACATTGCTGTCAAACGGGCTTTTGCGAGCAACTTTTTCGAACTTCTGCGACAACGGTTGCGCACCTGCCAGGGCCATCATCCCTGTCAAATAATACCATGCGGGACAGAGTCGTTTTTTCTTCGCGCGCGCACGCCGAAATCTCCAAAAACCATTTGGGCTTCTTTAACTCACTCCGCCTAACAATCGGGAAACCATATCCTCTCTCGCTTGTGTATTCCCACATCCTCAGGAATTTCCCTAAGATGTGATTCAACTACCCCAAGCAGGCTGCACATAGGATCCAGGATATCATGTCCATATCATCTACGCATCTGCCACAGGGCGCCGTCCTTAACACTTCTGTGGGTTAACAAGGCTTAACAACTTCTGTGGGTGTACGAACGTAGGCTTAACAACTTCTGTGGGTGTGTACTCCACGCCAGTGTAGTAGCCACGGTCGTCCGCAGGCCACGAAGTGAAGTGTCCGAACGGCATAGGGCGGGAAGCTGGGTGTGGGTGGTGGCGAAGAGTCGTGTGGATATTTGGTAGAGCTTGCACTGCCCCCCCACAAAGTGGGGTATTGGCTGGCGTCGCATGAAAACCCTGGCACTGGTGAGAACACTGAGCGTTCGGGTAAAGTGATTGTTGTTGTTGTTGTTGTTGAACATTATTACTTCTAAAGAATAATTATTGTTGGGGCCCCTGGTGCACGACCCCCTCGCCGCGCCTAGGCCGCAGCCTCATTTTCATCATCTTCGTGAGGAAGTCTCAGGCAGAACGGGGTATACCAGATCCGGTTGTTTTGTTGACGCCCGCTTTCCCTTGCAAAAAACACTATAAAATGAAATCTCTTGTTCTAACATAACCAAACTTCAAGAATCCTTTGCAAAAAATGACACGAAGTGCACACTCGCGCGCGCAAGATGAAATCCTTCCAAAACCTTAGTTTTCGTAGCGATTTTAACATAAAAACATGAAAAAACCCAATGGTTTTTCAAAAAAAAAGTTTCAAAAATTCATCTTGCGCGCTCTTGCGGATTTCTGAGGAAACCCAATATTTTTTCAACATGTCTGTCAAACGGGCTCTTGCGAGCAACTTTTTCACGTGCTTCGAACTTCTGCAACAACGGTTGCGCGCATGCCAGGGCCATCATCCCTGTCAAATAATACAATATTGGACACATTCGTTTTTTCTTCGCGCGCGCACGCCGTCGTCGTCGGCCGCGGGGCCCTGAATAGTAGCCACGGTCGTCCGCATGCCACGAAGTGGAGTGTCCGAACGTCATAGGGCGGGAAGCTGGGTGTGGGTGGTGGCGAAGAGTCGTTTGGAAATTTTGTAGAGCTTGAACCGGCCCCCCCACA